TTTTTTTAAAGAAAGGAAAAGAAAAATTAATTATTTTGTAGCGTTCACGTAATTTGTTCTTTTTTATTTTTATTTTTTTTTAAATAATAATAAATAATTATTATTTTTTATTCGATCACACGAGATGGGGGTAGTTGAAAAACAATCCATTTTATGTAATCAGTCTCATGTTAAAGATTGTTATTTAAATAATGTACGAAGGGTAATAATATAATGAGAGAAAAAAATATGTAATAAATTATTTAAAAAAAAAAAAAAAAGAAAAAGCAAGATATAATAATAAAAAGTATATATTTTTCTTTATTTTTTTGTTGTATATTTTTTTTTTGTAGAAATGCGTTACCGCTTTGGAGAAAACTTGGCACACGGAACATTTCTTCTGTGCCCAGTGCGGCAAGCAATTCGGCGAGGAAGGTTTTCACGAACGTGACGGAAAGCCATATTGTCGGGAAGATTTCTTCGACATGTTTGCACCAAAATGCGGTGGTTGCAATCGTGCTATCATAGAAAATTATATTTCCGCTTTGAACAGTCAATGGCATCCGGATTGTTTCGTTTGCAGAGTAGGTTTTATCAGACATATTTTGTTAATAATAATAATAATAATAATAATTAATTATTTTTAATTAATATATACAAGAAAGACACACAATAATGCGTTGACTTTTAACAGGAAATTCACAATTTGCAGAGTTTATCTATTTGGGGACGAATCGATAATTTTTCGAAAATTTGTTTATATGTTATCCTTGTGTGTTTTAAATATTAACAATTACAGGATTGCAAGAATCCGGTTTCCGGGAAATCTTTCTACGCAATGGAAGGAAAACCAGTCTGTCCAAAATGTGTTGGAGTTGATGAGGAAGAAGATGAGGAGGAAGAGACGGCCTAAATAAAAAAAAAAATAACAACAACAAACAACAAAAAGAAATGATTTTTCGATGTTCTCACTTCACAGTCGTTGATTATTACTATTCTATTTTCTTATAGAAGATGTCTATTATTTCCCCCTTTCACCCCACCTTACCCGAAACCCAACCCCTCGTTACAGATGTTTGATTAATCCATATTTATATCTCGTTGGCTCGAGAAATGCAGAGCCAAAATTCTTTTTTCTTTAATTTTTCACAGATGACAAATATGTTATTGAACGATGAGCAGATAATATATATGTATATATATATTTTTTGTTTGTTTATCACACAAAAAACACACATGTACACGCATACGCGCGAACTTTTTATCGTGCTAGATGTTCTATATTTTTTTTTTTTTTTTTTTTTTTTTTTTTTTTTTTTTTTTTTTTT